TTGAGTGGCGCATGACTTGGAATTAAATTCAATTAAATACCACAGTGTCATTGGACAGAATTATAGACCTCGTCCAACTTATATAACCTCGGTTTTACCTAACACTGCCAATCCATTAAAAGTGTTTATGTTTAATCTCTTTGTTGTAATCCGCTGAAACCTCGTTGAATGTACCATTTCCCTATTGCTATGCTTTCCCATTACCACTGATTTGTGTAGAAACGGGTTACTTTGACAACGTCGCGTGGCTTTTAAATGCTGGTTTGGCTCCATAATTATCTGCGCGGTCGTACACGTGACTGCCTTCATTTATGAAACAAATGCGCGGATTCTCTTTTAAATGACGTCAAACTTAAGGTCAGAGCATTTGTCCCGCGTCGACTAGATTTGTCCTCACATCGCCAACGCCAGTGGTCTCCTGGACGCGCCTTCAACAGTGTCAGAACGCCCACTTCGGAAGTTGATCGTACACTTTCCACTGGTACCTGCCTGTCAAGGGACATTTGTGCCTCATGAAATAAACGCGCTTGACTTACCCTGGGGCGTGCGACCTTGTGGAGCGTCAGTGTGTGTGTGTGTGTTCGATCGTTCTCTCTCTGGCAGGCTTTCATGCACAGTGTGCTTATTTGAAACACGCTGGTGTTTGTCCCGGCATCGAATGACCATTTGAGATTCTCATTCTCTGAACGGTAGACAGGCTATGGAAACAATTTTGGTCTCTTCCCTAGACCATGGCCTTTCTGGTTTCTTACATCGAATGCAATATCATGGAATTTTGGCGTGCCAAATGTAGAATACCGCCTTGGTGCTGGTCTGCAGACCACAATGCAGCTCCACTTTTTGCATTAGTTTAAAATGCACAGCTAATATAGAATAGCATTACTGCAATCCCGACAACTATTCCTGCTGACAGCATCGAATTTTATCATCTACAGCATATCGCTGATAGAATCTTGGTCATCAAAACAGCCTCCTCGATTGGTTTTCTTTTGCGAGTACTTGCGTTGCCCGAGCAGAAGCCCGATTTGCGCATTCGAAGTGCACTCTCCCAACCACCTTGCATACAGTGCAAGTTTAACACACTCAAAGGGCTTTAAGACTACCCGGACATAATTTCGCACCGAATTAATGCATCCCCGTGCCCGACTTATTCAAATGAAGCCCAACCCTCCTTGAAGCCTAGTCTTCTTTCTAGTCTGTTAGCCTGTTAGCAAAATCGCACCAGTTTGACCTGATTTTGCGTATTTAACTGAACCAATTGCTTCGTCATATTTCTTAGTAATTCAGTGGAACGAGTCATCCCAGGTAGCATAATTCGAGGTAAGGCCAAATCTACAAAATTGTTGTTTTTATTTTGACGATCCCTCATGAAAACAAATGCTCGCTTAGTCATTCTTCGTGTTGTTGGGCTGTGTTGGTTGCTGTTTGCATGTCTACAATCCCTTGTTATATTTTTCCCTACGACGCCGTCTTATTACCTGGCTGCCAGAGACAGAATAGTCTGTGAAGGTGACCAGCACGCAGACCAGCCCCTCCCCAATAGGGTGGAGATCAAAGGAGTTCCATGGGGTGCCGTGGCTGCTGTGCAGACTGCATCAGTCTGTCTGTGTGGCTTTGCCGCAAGAATAAAAACACGCCCATGTGTAGTTATTACCTTGGCTTTGTGTCTGGGTGAACATTTGGCTTCGCGAAATTTACTAACGTTCTTACGGCGATGGATTTACAAAATCTCACAAAGATGGCTACAACGATTACTGATTTTTCGGTCACTCCACAATGGCCGTCCTCATGGATGACGTCTTTCACATTATTTTCCCTCTTTAACTCGCAAACTACATTGAGCCCCAACGTCAACTCTGCCTTCATTCGACGCCTTCGTGGAGAGCCAGGACGGCGTGCTCTGAACAGCCGAGTCGGCAGTGTGTTTGTCGACACGGCACCAGCGCGAAACATTATTCCACCCATTTTTAAAGGGAGGCTATCGAGCAAGCTGTCAGCTCTGAAAGAAAGCACAATCTTATTTGGGAAGCATTATGAGGACTCCAAGAAAAATTTTTCTCAATGTCAGACAATGTTAACTTTCCTCCTGGAATCACGTGCGTGAATTCCACTGCATTGACTGTTCATGACATTTGAGCGTCGTGAACGAATGCTTCAACGACGGAAGTGGAGGCGGAATTACCCTGTCAACCGCCACGCGCAGCAGTCCACTTTACTTCCCCTGTGTGAGTCATCTTGTACGTGCAGTGAGAGACGAAGGCATGGTGCGACTAAAGCGATAAGTTTCCGACTCCATTATGCGCGCCTCAGACATCACACATGACGTTACGATCGTCGGTAGTAAATTTCAGAACGCTATTAATTTTGTGTAATGTCGCGATGCTGCTACGGTCAGTTGAAATTTATCGCCAACTGGCTGATTCTGCCATTTACGTAGCCAACTAATGGCCGCATTTCAAGCCACTCCCGTTATTGCAATCGCGGTGTGTACGTTTTTTAGCTACTCGGGCAATCATTGGATACAAAATGAATGAGTTGAGAAAAACACCATGACTTCACCTGCGTTGACCTCAATTTATCGGCACACGTAATAGCTTGAACTCGGCGAATCGCTCCTGCCTCGTTGCAGTCGAGTGATTTGTGCTAAAAGCTTAGCTCAAGTGTCAGTTCACTGCGAAGTAGCATTGCGTCAGAAGGCAGCGCGTGTCCTTGCACCGACAGCATTGCAAATCACCTTACGTGGAAAGGCATTCCTGCGTTCCATGGTCGCGAGAAGATAAGCGAGACCAATCCACACCAGTCCGGCTTTGCCTAGCTAGGTACCCTCTTCGGCCATGCAAATGGTTGGGCCGTTCTTTGGTGAAGCTGAATATGGTCCTTCGGATCTCTCTTCTCCACCAAAATTCCAGTAATTATTTAGACCCACTGACTGTGGGAACTTAATGGTCTCAAATCACGCGCAATTGAGACCCAACAAAACGTGGAAGAGAAATACTGCGGCCGAACGGTTTTTCATGCCGCAAATTATTCCATTAGCCCCAACCTCGCTGATCCAAGGGACCAAATTGGCTCCCCAATTTTGTTGACATTTCCTTCCAGGATCAGAATATCCCGTTAGTGACCTATCCCGCCGGTGGAACCCAGCGGGCACAGGGCATTGTTTTCACTGTGCATCCAAACGACGGCCAAAACACGCGTATGGGCGTGCATACACACATATATCAGGGGGGCGATTATTTATGCCCTTTGCATGCGCTAAAAATCAAGAGAGCCATGTGTGTGTGTGTGTGTGCGTGTGCGTGTGTTGCCACTGTGATTGATGGGCGTTAGCGCGGCGTCCACCCCACGCACACACACACATGTGCGCACGTTGTTTACATTGTGTGGCTGCTGTGGATTGAGCGCCCTCCCTCCCCCTCACCCCACCCCGGCCAACTGACCTTGTGGATCCGTTCAGCTCCATTTTGGAGGAAGAAGCAACGCACAGGCTGGCTTGTAGGCACCTTAAAGGCCCCAACTGCGCACCAGACGAGATCTCCGATAGGGTGTGCGCGTGGAAGTCCACGCGAAAATCCCACGCTTCTCACCCGTGTGGACAACACTTCCTAAGTGTCAATTTGGAAGGTCCGGTTTCGTCGTCGTTGGCACTTTCAAGTGCAACTCACAGTGAGGCACGGAATGCACTAGGGCTTGATTCAGTCAGGGCACCATTTGAGCGCGTTAAATTAATTTTAGGGTGTGCGTAATATTCCCCTTAGAAGGCTGCCCACTGCATAAACGCACCAGTGCCAACGACTGTCTGGTGCTTTTTTTCGGGAGTTGTGCGTATCTCAGGTACCTGTCGACTGTCTCATGCCAGTGATTTAATATTCAAACGAAGCAACCTTCACTTCTTTTGTCTTCCACCTAACCGCGAGCTCCTCCAGTCGTTAGCCTGTTTTTACAGCTTCTAACCTATTAGATTTCACGTCTTTTAAAGAATGCTGGAGAGTTAGTAAAGAGGGAAAATATGGCGGATGACCGACATTTACCAATCGCTACATACATGGGGCATAGCTGTCATAATTTCATTCGTGAAGATACTTCTTGCGTGCGCCCGCAGAATTTATGTAGCTATCACTTCTTAGTCGTGCTTCAGCGAACCCTGTCTGTCAGAGTGTGCGGTCTTGGCCACCGTAGCAACTCACTTTGTCAAGCGCTTATGGCGAGACCACACGGTAATGAATAGCACCGGTTAACCCATAGATCGCGTTTTTGAATGAAATCGTATGTTTAACAAGAAGTGATGCTTAAACAGGAGTCTGCTGCACTTTCTTGGCCTCAAGAACCTCCGCAAAACTCCAAACCTGGATCGAAGAATCCCCCATTGACTCCCCACCACTGTTAATGCGGCACTTTAAAACCGCCACGAACCTGCACTGGTTTGGTTAAATCGACTCGATGGATTTCGGAGCTTAATATGCATGCATCAACAGGTGACCAATGAATTCTCAAGTGCGTAATTACGACGTGAATGCCAGCAGGCTTAGCTAGCTTTGCGAGGAGTGCAGACAGTGCGAAAGTTTCACGCTCTCAGGTCAGGTGCGAAGATGCCAATCAATACCTCTGCAGTTAATAAGGCGTGATTGTGGAGTTTCTTCCTTGAACTCGTAACTTCAGCAACCAGAGAGCTGCTTATGTGCAACATAAACCCACAGTTCATCTCTTCTCATGTGAGTAATGTATTAGGTACACGTGCTCTCATTAACATAAGCCTGAAATACCACATAATCGATCAAAATGGATTATTTTGTATGTATGAAAAGGTCCATTTTTGCCAGCTGGTCATTGGTCGACTTCTTTGCATTGAATTTTTAACCTACTGTCGCACGCTGCTGCCGTGCCATCTTGATATTTAGTGCCATTGACCACCCATGCCCCTGTTCCCTAATACACATGAACATGTTAAAAAGCGAGTCAATAAAATTTTTGCACACTCTTGTGTGCTGTCACTTTGTCAGATGGAACAGTTTTGTCTTGTTTACGGCAAAACCGAAGCTGTGGTGTATATCGCCGTTTCTCCATCGGCCTGTTCCTTGTCTCGAGGCGTTTGTGTGTGTGTGTGCGCCCTCGCACTCGAGTGGATGCATGTTAGGCCGCAGCTGCGGGGTAGTTTGCAGTCGAAACATGCTTGCACGCCGCTTGAGGGTGTCACTTTGGCACGAAAAGGCACCAATACGCGGTTCTACAAGCTATTTCCAACGCGTCTGTTGCGGTCAAATTCGTGCCCTTAGTCTCCCGCTCCATCCCTATTGTACTCAGGATGCGTAGCGTTGTGTTTCATGCCTTTCTTATATCCACATCCGGATAGCAATAACGACTCCGTAAATGCGCAATTTTGCGGTTGATAGTTGAAGCGGAGGCCTTAAATCGAGTTTAGAAACGGGCCACAGCTAAAACGCGAGTAAGGGCAACACCGAGGCCTAAGGTGACATGTATCTAGTGATTTATGTCATCGGATTTGGAATTTCCCTACCCTGCCACCCAATTCACTGCATTCGAATTGTCATGTTTAGGTTCAGCTAAATGCCGCTCTACTTGTTGTGATTTGCTAAATGTAAACACAGGCTGTTGCTGCTTTTTTTCGGCTGAAAATTCGTTCTTTTGTTTACAGCACTGCAGCCTCATCACTTCTACGAATCTGTCTCTGCCGCGTGGTCATAGTCAAAGAAATATAAACTCTTGCCTGGTTACGATTCTTAAGTTTATAGTGCATTCGAGTTGCGAAGCGTTCTAGTCGTGAATCACCAGTTGACCTCACTTTCTTATCACCAATGCCATCGAATTGGATCACACACACGACACCGAGTTTGGCGTGTAGCGATCGCGTGTCTGCATGCACACGCCGAAGATGCGAGGTTCGGGTCCCTAACCGACTGACCCCCACCGTTACCATCCTCCCATGCGCTTTTAGCTCCTATAACCTTCTCAAAAAGCACACAAAATAAACCTCAGTTACCTTTCCTCTGCAGAATATGCCTCCACCGTGACGTGTCGCTTCAAGGCCAAGGAGTTCAACTCCGGTCCCTTCCCCAAGATTAAAGGGGAGTGCCTCTTCTGTCTGTCAAAACTCGATGTCCTTCTCATTTCCCAGGACGTCAGCCACCCCGATCTCTCAATTCGAGTACGTCATTTTTCCCTCATTTTTTCTGTAAATCAACACAGTTAAGTCAGTGTCTTTTTTATATGTTTACGTCATCTAGCTCAGTGTATTATGCAGATTCTTATTGTATCGTTTCACGAGTTATAGGGGAATGACGAAGTGAAAGTTGTCAGTAGTGTGTGTGTGTGCCTAAAGCGCAAACTCCGCGTGAAATGGACCCGAAAGCTCCAATTAACTTGGTCGTTATTGTGATGGAAAGAGGTCGCTTAGCACAACTCTCACTAGCTGGACCTTCTTTTTGCCCTTTCACAAGTCAACAGGGCCAATTCTTTCAGTGTTCCAGAAAACTTAGTCGATTGTCTTTGAAATCGACCCATGCGTTCCGGATTTCTAGGGCAATTTTACCATTTCTGCAATCACATAACAGATTGAATTTTGCTTTCTGCGTCGTCCGGGTAGATATTTGCTGAAATGTAGTAAAAATGCCTTATTTGTTTCAACCCCTGACGGAACTAATTCTTGTGCGAACCTCTATGCCTTATTAGAACGGCTTTTGCTAAGCCACCTTCCACATCATTCGCGAATCTAGGGTCTTCCACCAAAATCCCAAGTCTGCCTAGCACATAGCTTGCTGATGTTCTCTTGTGCTCACCCCTATCATCATCATCATTGCGATGTCGCACACAATCGTAAAATTTTATTGACTCCTTGGTCGGATCGTGTCATTACCGCTTCAGGCAGATGATTAATTTGGTGCCGACTATACTTCCAGGGGTGTCGATTTTCCGTGACGTTTTAGGTTAATGTGTTCGCATGATAACAATAATATCGCTTTTGCGGTGTGAAAGAAACGCACTTGTGAATACAAAGAATGAGGTTTACTCATTTGGGTTTTTCCACTTTGCCAAACTATCTATCGCCATCTTCTGGCAACCTAATCAAGTCGTGCTCGTAGGAGTTCCAGGCCTTATCGACAACAAGCAACACACAATCTCAAGTCATCATCTGTAGTGCATGCTGTACCATTCGAAGATTTGTCCAAACTTCGAAACAACTGATGATCTGGTGGTGCAACGGCAGGGCCAAACTGAGATGCACGACAGGTCTTTATTACATCGCCGCAGTAATTGCCCACGAACAGCAGCAGTGGATGTTTGAGGCATTGCATTGCCTTGATGGAAAATGACTCCCTCCACAACTCTGGTCACTATTCTCTTATTCCCCCCCTGCTCCACCTACATTGTTTGTTGACATTAAACATCCGAACTGATCACATGGTTCGTTGGAAGCAGCGGCACCAGCGGCAGCAGCAGCTCTAATTACACCTCACTCTTGTAAATCCACCAGATTTACCGCATTTACAGATCACTTCAAGGCAGGTCGGTTTTGCTGTGGTTTGTGGAGGTTCAACATTTTCGATGAATGCTGTTATAGAGAATCCATGTGTGGTGAGTGATACAACACTTAACTCCTCTGAAGCCGCCCACAGCACTAAATGGCTACGGACCGAGTGAATTGTCGTCTCGACTTGGTCGTCATCGGGTTCAGTGTGCAGATGCCAACTTAAATCCACGCTGAGTGGACAATCCTGAAGTCGAAACCTTTGGAACTAGCGTGGGTGGTTTTTTTTGCAATTTACAACACAGATGTCAGCTGTTCACTGTGCGTCTCAGTAGCTTTGGTGCCATCACGGAAGTGAAGTACTCTGAGAATATCCTTGCTAGCTGTCCGTGCTGAGGCTGGTCCTGAATTAGCATCGGCACACAAACTGACACGCGACTTGTTTATAGCATGAGCTAAAAGCGCCATCTATCAAATGTCAGAAAGACATATCATAAACCTAAGGGCGTATGTGAAAAATAAGGCCGATGCACCTGTGAGATTGCATCAATTGCAGTCGTCGTGTTTAATTACACGAATTTGACCTTGGCTTTGGTTTGCTGTGGCAAAATCACCGCTCCTAGTCAGTATCGCGACGATCGGAAACCCCCGAAGCACAACATGCACCAGGTAGCGGGCTGTCACTCTGGCACGTGGGCGACGCACCCCCGGCGCAGCAGCGCATTTGTCTAACTTGCACCATGGCAAATGTGGTTTGTGCGTTTTATGAACATGCAGTGATATCGTTTTTCCCTGAAACCTCTAAAATCGATTGCTGTTAATTCACCAGCCATTTGGAATTCGCCTAGGCAAGTTGAATGAGCAGTGACCTCAGTATTGTTGCACCGCGAAACGTGAAGTGCGTTTGGAGGGGACGTTAATTGGGGGCTTCAATGTAGGAACTGGTTTCGTTGGTGTCGGCAGCAAAAGGGCGTCTCGGTGTTTTGGTCTGCACGCAAATGGTGCATTTGTATCAACGCTGTCGATGGAATGGTCTAAGGATCTTCAGTAGTCAAAGACGTTTTTCGTAGTATTTCACAATTCCTATTAAAAATTAATCTTTTGTGCGCACAAGTGGTAAACAGAAAGGGTTGGGCACAAATGAGCACCTGAAGCCGACTGCTCAGCCTGGCTGGCAGTAAAGGAAAGCACTGCCAGTAGCGATTGACAACACACGTGCTCCAATTGGATTCCTCGTCGTTGGGGAGCGTTGAAACTAAAACTGCATAACAATAAACCTTTAACAATACATTGTAATAATCATCAGAGAAAATGTCCAGACAAAGTGTCTGGGTTTTAAACTTCTCACCCCTTCCGACTATCAATTGAGTGGTCAATGGGTATTAAAATTAGACGATCCGTTGGTTTAATTGCCAGAATGATCGTGGAAGTATGTTCTATACCATGGTTTTATGCTGTCATCTCTATTTTAAGATTGTCTTTACGGGCAAAGCTAAATTGTGATCTACCAACAATATGAAAATAAAACCGTTGGAAAGTATGCAACGTATTGTTCAGTTGTCTGTGTTATGCCTTCGATAAGACCTAAGATGTGAATTTCTTGTTTGATAAGCATCTGAATAGACTTTTCTGTTCATTGTGTCTGGCTACACTTAAAGTATGCTCAAATTAGAAATTTGCACAAAGGTTTGCCTTTCGCGTTAAGCGTGTGTGTCGCCTTAAGTGCTGTGCTTCCGTTTTACGCTCTGCAGGAATAGATCTGCATCAACGGACCATGTATTTGAGGACTACCGCTTCAAATATAGTTTGTTTGAATCTTGGAACGAGGCGAGCTAGGGCACAACACATTAACTCACTGGGTCATTGCAGTAATTAATAAACTGAACTGGATACTTAGGTGTTAAAGCAACCTCATTTTGCGTTTCATGCAATACTCCCCTTACATATTAGCACTTTCTGAAGCACGCGGAGGGGTCGTGGACGGTTTCAGTACTGCGTGGTTCTGGTCAATCATAGGGCGCACACTTTGGAGCTTTCACGACTGCTCAGGGCAGAGGCAAACGTCTTCCAGCACCACATCCTTTTCATTTTGTTTTCACAGGCAGACGGAAGGACTAGTAGTGCTGTCGCGCTTGTTCCTTATGCACCTTTAATGGGCGCAGAGCGCTTACAACTCTCCTCCTCTCTCCCTGTGTTTGTGTGCGCGTTTTGTACAAATTCGCAGCACAATGGTGTTTAGGAAGAGTGACTTGTCAGTGCCCTAGTGTAGTCCAGATTAAGCACTTGAACACACATAGTGCTTTAGTTTCACAATGGCTGCCTCATGAGATTGGGATTTTTCGCCAGAACCTGATTCCTTCAGGACTGACTCGCATTTAGGCAGGTCACATGTAAGGGAAACCGCAGTTTGTTGGTGTTGTTGATTTGGAGATTACTTGGTGTCTTTGTAAAGTCGATCTTAGTCGACATAGTGCGTCCTTGCTTGTAGAAGTGGATTTTGGGAAAAAAGAAAGAATTGGATTGCGCCTTAGAGGGATGCAGAAGAATCTTGGGTGTGTTCAAAAATTCCTTGTGAATAATGTCAACGCGGTAGGTTGACGTCAAAGCACTGAGGGACAGAACGTGTTTCCCACAGCGGCTCGGGTCACAGTACAGGCTCAGAGGTAGCTCGTCAATTATGTGTGAGTCGCTTCATCGCTGCCGTTATTCCAATCCGTTCCGGGTCACACAGGCATCGTTCTAAAGCGGACTCGTTTATAGTAATCTAGTAGATCCTTGGTTTCTAGTGAGGAAGGAAGACCCAGACCGCGTGACTTTGACGCTACACCCGTCACCAACTTTGTGAGTCAGTTGATTATTCTTTTATCGTTTACTTGCAGTTCCCCTACGTGCGACATTGTGCCTCGCGAGATGATGGACGCCTTTGTCTGGACATTGGTCGTGCCGCGCCAACCGGCGAATGCGAACTCGTCCTCCAGATGGTCAACGCCCGCGAAGCCACAGCCGCCCACACCCGATGTATTGCGTGAGTTCCTTGCGTTTCCTCGCTTTCGCCCACACCTACACGGCGTAAGGCACCACCTCATCAACCATCACCCAGTCCGAATAGACACTAGAACATAAATGATAGTGACAGCGCCACCTCTACCAAAACATGCCGCAGTTAAGTGCATGAACACTTGGTTGAAAGTTGCCACAACGAATCTCTGAGACGACACCGCTCAGGGCATTGTCAGAGTTGATGAGTGCTTTGAGATTGTTCATGTAGTTCCACACAATGTGCTGCCACCTTAAAAATCAATATTGACTCAAGTGACAGCCACCCACGATTAACTAATTTTCTGCGTAGAATCTCATTAATTGGTGCGTTTCAGCAGCGTGAATTTGTGTGCGTTGGTATCAGCTTTCACTGTAAAAACTGAAGGGGTCTTTTTTACGAAAACTGGCACCGCCTCTTTGACTGTTTCGTTGCACTGGCGATTTAGACGTGTGTCCTACCACGTCCAGAGCTGCCGAACACCGGCTGACTGCCTGCAGACTGCTGGGCCCTAATGACTTTTTCACCAGGGTCAGATGACTCACGAGGCCTGTCTCGAGGCACGGTAAAATCAATGTTTTGCCAGAATGCAAAGCGCTGTGTAGCTCAGATATGTTTAAATCTTGTTTTCAGAACTCCACCACAATTACATTTAGCGTAGGCCGGCAACACGTTCATGTGTAAGTAAGAAGTGCTTTTTTTCAGACGTATGTTTTAGATTAGCCATTCCAACGTGAAATTCGGTACGTCATAATTTTTAATATCCTAGGGTTTAAAAACCTGTTTCAAAAGGCGAAACGAAATTACTTTTTAACATAATTATGCGGCGGTTGTACGCACGCGCCCTGTAAGATGTGCGGTGCGTGGGTCTTTTGGTAGAGCGCGATGGGAAATGCGTGCTTTATGTGACTTTCGGGTTTCTTCAAGTTATTCCCGTTATCATCACTACTACACACGCCTCGTCGTGCGATCATGCCTTCTCGTAGCCAATAATTTTCTCCCATTCTGTTCTTCGTCGTTGATTTATTACAAACAGTAGCATGTTGTTAACACACGCATCAAAATGAAATCCGAATTTGGTAAAATTGTCGTAGTAAACTGTAGTATTGGCTTTCTAGTAGAACACCCTATAAGAATGTATCGATTTTTTTCGAAATTATGTGGGTTTTTTCGTGTCCTTCCAAATCGATGGGAAGACCCAAAATTCTAGTTCGAATTCGCCACTTCGGACCACGACATTTTATTCCACATGCGTTACATCCCTCAACGTGGCTTGCGTTCCCATGACGCAGCTCCTTAAGACATTTTACGCGAGGATTAACGTCACCCCGTTTTCCGCATCGTCGTTGGCTTGGTAATAAAATGTACTTGAAAAATAAGTTATTGTCTAGTTTGCCCCTGTGTCGCTGGCGCCTTCTTCATTCGGGCCCACGGAACACGCAGGTAACAGGGGGACTAGTTGAGTTGACAACTCAGGCAGCACGCCCACGTGGCCAACGTAGCAGCAGAAGCCACAACAATCGATTGGCGCGCACGCTGAACGCGATACGCGCGCAACGGCGTACACGTGCGGCGAAAGCGTTTTTGACCTAATTATTGGGCGCTGTCACACAAACTGCGTTTTCAGCGTGATCCTCGCTGTTTGTGAGATCATCGGCTCGTTTAACGCCCCGTTGCTTAGCCTTTCAGGCAATGCCTTGACGAAACGCCTGAATCAAAGACAAATCGGTTTCACGCCTGCCTTTAGCGTCACTTCCCATGAGCTCATGAGAACGCTTGTCATCGAGGTCGATAGCATGTCAAATAATTGGCGAGTTGTCCCTAAAACACTTCCACATCCTCGTGGATAACGAATTTGACCGTGCATACACCACAGAAGCATTTCTATTTATTTCATAGTTGGGGTTGCTTTTGTGCGACTAAACAGTCTGTTTGCACAGCCCGCCAGGCAAAACCACTACGGCCTTGAAATGTATGTTTTGCCGTGTATACTGCACAAGGTCACGAAAACAACCATCAATTTAGCGCGATTCACTTGTGTTTGGGGCAAACTTTTATTTTTGTTATCCTCCCAACTCCTTTTAGCCTAATGCGCCAATGCCCCACCTGGTTAAAACTTGGGCGTGATGGACCGAGCTCACGACGACGGACGATTCCCAACTTCAGGTGAGTCACCACCCAACTTTGGCGTCTTGCGGGTGAATGGGCGAGGTTTATTCTTTGAAAAGATTAACGATTTCGGGAGTTTATGCAGTTAACGCCTTAACTCGAAGTGAACTTTGGTGATCAGTGATTGCCAAGGGTCGATGAACCATGGTCTTAATGAGTGATTCACCAGGTTATGTCTTATGAACGTGTAAAGCAGTAGGCCTGGCGGCAGTTGGAAAGCAAGCACGGGCCCAGACGTGACAGGGCGACACCTAGTCCCGTGGCCCCAAGTTATTCTGTCGCCCCCTATGAAACCTCCTTTGTTTTATGTTAATGCAGCAAGAAGGCATCCGGTGTGAAGCTGGCAGGACCGCCCCTGCCTCGTATTCCCGCTACCACCACGTCCATGGGGAACCCGACGTCCACGGAACAGCTCCCAGCGCCGAATATCCTTCCAATGGTTCCAGAAGCGTCGATTCCGCCGCCTTTGCTGCTGCCACCTCCGCTCCACGTCCCTCCCTCGTGCTCGCATTCAGTCTCGTATCTCGTGGGAAGGCGGTCCCGCTACTACTCCCTTTCACAAAAGAGCCACTCGTTTCCTTCCCACTTGTACACCGAGCCGATACCCGAAGTGGCGGTCGATGAACCCTTGGCTGGCGATTCCACCGAGCCGATCTTGTAAGCACAGACTCCCCTCCTTTTTCTCTCAGTCCTTTTGACAGCTCCAAGAAGACATCAAGACACCGCGTGTGCACATAGGTCGTTCTGACATAAATTCAGCATATTCTGTGCCTTCTAGCATTAAACAGCAACTTCCCGGTGAAGAAAGTTATACAAAATAAGCCACCTTTCAAGATGTTTTTTGCGTCCTTCAGACCTCCCTCGATTGTCCGCACCGAGGAAGAACCTGACACCGCGGAAAGTCCTCAGACACCATCCCAGTACAATCCCGATGCAAATAATCAAATCTCGTCAACTAACGCTACCGGTGATCCCACCAGCCACTACCTTCAGCTTAATGTTGGTAAGTCACGGTTTGTAAATGAAATGTCAAAGAATATTCTACTTGGAAAGCGTAAGTAGCCTGGAATCAAGCCGAACTGGGTTACCACAGCAATGGTAACCCGGGCCATAGGAGTCCTTATTACAGTCCTATTGGGTAGAAAACGTTCCCACCGTTTTACTTTCATTATCCTTCAACTCACTCAACTGTGTGTAAAGTGACCAGGAAGCAAGTTACTGTAGCGAATTGACGCGAGCTATAGGTGTTTTCGTTCGATCGAAATCCAAAATGCGTAAACAATTTGGCAAATTGATGCAAGATTTCAGACAGGAGGTAAGTGACGTTTTCTGGCCGGTCGGTGGGCATATATGATAAGAGGGCCAATCGATTCTCAAAATACAAGTCTCTTTAGTCGAGAGAATTAATGTGATAGCAACTATGAAAGCATGGACAAATTTTTCTACTCCATGGATCTCCTTGGAATGACTTTGGCAGGATCTGAATTCCTGCTAGCCCTGAGATTTCTTGGGCAATGAACGGCACGTTTAATAGCCCGTTCATACTTCGTCGGTCACGTTTACACCCCAAGTGATGCAGTTCATGTACTTCTGTTCCCCTAGAAAATTTAATGGGACCACACATCAAAAGCATAACCAAATATGCACCGACAGAGGGGGTCGCTGAGGGTGATGAGCAGCTCGGAGCGGGAACAGGAGTTCGCCGTGATGAGGTCCTTTCAGAGGAGACCATCCGCCACGTCTTAGCCTACCTATCGAGCATCACGCGACCCTCGAAACCAGCTGGGATCGCGACCACCGAACCTGAGGCAGCCCGATCCGGAGCACCCTCGCGACAACCGACCGTCAAGTTCTCGCCCAGTCCCTTCATGATTCCCACAGATCGTGAGTTATTTGTTCGCGTACCCCAGCACATGCACACAACACCTAAGTCTGCCTCATTTGAAGATAATTTCTACTTGGAGACGCTATCGAATCTTTATTCCCCTCCAGTTACCCATCTTACGGCTCTCGTCTGTCTTTGTAGAACCTCGCGATGGTTTCTATGTGGAGCCTGTGGTTGTAGGGATTGATCGCCTCACCAGCAAAGTTGGCTCGCACTCCTTTGAAATAAGCCGAACTTCCTCCACAAAAAAGGGGCTCTCACTTGGCGGTTCCAGCGGCAGTGGTATTCAACTTCGTCGGCCAAAGCGTCACTTTACTGGTTGCGCCTCCCAGGGTGGAAGCACCGTTGGAGTGTCTAGTGGTGGCAGCGCAGGCAGCGGTACAGGTTTGGGTTCGAGCATTCGAAACCGAATTTACTCCCATCGTGACAACGACGAGCTCTTCGCAGACCTAACTTACGTGCCTGGAGCCACATCCCGTCACACAACACTTTGTCAGGTGTCCAAGTGTTCAACATCTGAGCGCTCCTCAGCTTCGTTTGAGGCTGGACGCATGTCCATGGTCATTGAGACGACAAGCTCTGCCGCTGCTCTGGATCATCAGAATCGCCCCCGGACCGCAAGCGACACCGGTGGCAAGTGGAAGACCGGAATTACCCCGCCTCTCCGCCTCCTCCCATCCAGTTCTCAGATTGCTGGTGCTGTCTCGCGTCCTCGCGCTCGGTCTTTAACACACCAGCTCGCGACAAAGCCCCTAAGTCAACCAATTGGAGTGAAAGACCTTGAATGTCTTACCTCTGGCGAGCTGTACGGTGGTTGTATGGAGTTGGAGTCCCGTTCAAACTCCACTACCTCCACATCGAAGGGAATAATACGGGCGATCGAACATGTCCTTGGGAGACCCCGATCGATTGAAGAAGGAGGGGGCTTACACGGCGTCACTGGTGGTGTTACAGCAAGTACCACTTCTCCTAGCCACCACCAGCCGCAAGAATCAGAAATCTACGCCGAGATGGACTTCACCGCGTTGAGACAACCACACCCCCCCGCGGATCTGCCCCCGGAGGTGCGGAGCACGCTGCGGGGCTCGCTCCTCATCACCCCCTCCGACTCACTTTCCTCCAACTCGTCCTCCCTTTCCTACTATGGTGGGGGAAGCCGGTCGATGGCGCCAAGGGCTGCCACCACCACCGCTGCCGCTGGACTGAGTTTCAACGACCACTACAGCCTCCTGTTTGGGCCAGCGATAGCCGCTGCCGTCGACCGGCATAACGTCATTTCTTCGGCTCCGCGTGTACCATTTGCCATGAAGACGCTGACTGGCTGTGACTTCCCATCATCGGCGTCGGCCCAGTGAAAAGAAAAAGAAGAAAGTAATTCCTGCTGTGATAGGCCCGGTGCTTGTGCGCGTCTGTATATATGAGTGATTCGTGTACATAAAAATGTGTATGTGCACGCATTATGTTCTAATGTAAACACGGAGTTTTATTGGTTGATTAGTGAGTGCGTATGTGGATATTTGCACATATTGAAGACATGTTTTGACTTTTAAAAATGAATTTTAACTTTGTATGGAGTTCTTCTTCGTCATTCATTTAGTGGGGGATGTTTAAAGACAAAGGCTGCTTTACTCTCGCCTTAGTGCTCTCAGTGTAATTACCCAACCCAACTGCAAATATTATAGAGTACACTCTTCATATCCCATCAGATACACAGGAGAATCTTCTTCAATTGGATGTCCTGTTTCGGCTTCAATGTGCTGGGTTACCCGGGATCTGCCCACGACTTTTACATTTAGGATTGTCGTAAAAAAATATACTTTTCATCACTCGTCACGATCTTCCACAAGGAGTCTTTCTTTGTTGCTGGCGGGCAAGCAGTGGAAGGCACGTGTTCATACGTTGACCTAGAAGGGTGTGTTTGGTCAACACACGCAGGGGCAAACTCTTGGAAATAGCTGCCTGGCCAATTCCTAACCGAGCTGCAAGCTCTTGTCGCGTTTGCGTTGAGTCTTCATCCAGTAGAGCTTGCGATTGAGCATCCTCAGACTATCGAGGTTGCCCGGGGCGAGACTGGTCACTAGGATCAAAATTACCACTTCTAAAAGGCTTGTGCCAGTAATTACACGTTTCAGAAGACCCAAGGTCAGCAATAAGACCACTACAAATTTATTGCCGTGCTTCAGAAGCATTTTTTCTTGTTGAAATTTGTGTAAAATGCAGTACCGAATGTGCTGCTTATAAGACGCGATCGTAAACTCTGGTATTCTGAGAGGTTATGTAACGCACGTAGCCTTGTCGTTGGATATTCTGAAATCTTGTATCCGAATCTCTCAAAACCACTGAAGACTGAGAAGATATTTCCCTATTAAATGTAAATTCAAGTTCGAGGAAAAAATCTGCAAAAATAAGTCATGTACCTAATATATTCATGGGAAGTACATGGCGTTCATTTTTTTGTTTCATGTGGCCATGACGCAGTGCATCATCCACTGCATTCATGTCAAAACGTTCGATGGCGCCTAATTTCGTTTCCCTTGAGTCTGTGGCATTCAACCTCACAGCACCGTCCCATGGAGGCTCTCGTCCATTTAGGTTAGAAGGCTGAGGGTACTATAGCTCCAAAAAATAATCGATTGCCTTAAATGAACTATTTTGCATAAGTCGACCTGTCAGCGAACGGGCATGAGTGAAGCGTGCTCAGTAACTATTGATTACAATTGATAATCGATAGTCACGATAAGCGCAGTCAGAAAACTAAACACTTGACTGGCCCAATGGTACTCAACAGTCGAATCCGCTGTCTCCTGCCTTGCCTCTGTTCTCGGATTGTTAAGTAAAAGATCTAAAGACTACAAATTTTTATTGGTTTACCTTGAATTCGTCAGCAGAAAGCTCTGCGGCGTACACACTATGGGGGTTGCGCAAATCATCAATATCCTTTCTGCTTCCGTACATCTGTTCTGCTGCACCCTAAACGTTACAATTATAAAATCCGGAAAATTCTTAAAATTCTCTGAAAAGTATTCAAGTATTTGTCAATAACTTAATTTTCATCAAATCAATTGAATGTCGTAAGAGTTTTTTTCAATGAAAGGCGTAGTGAATCGTGTTTATTCACGTCAAATAAAACGGTTGTCGCAGCCTCACACACACGTCCCCCTTTTCACGGCGTGCGCGTCAGTCGCTGGGACCGCCTGCTCATGCACCCCTCTGTATGTACCACCACCACCACCCGCCTTGTTCACGTGGCCATCCTGACGCCTGTCCGCTCAACTCAAATGTATCAGTCAACGCGACACAACTTCGTTGATATGTCTAGTAACTGGTTGCGCCTCTTCCTCTCCGGTCTAGTCCGTCTTCGTAGGCACTCAGAGTAGCGTAGTCGGCCTAAATTGACACAATGGCCCCGGCGTGGTTCAAGATAACAATTCGGAGTCCTCAACAAAGGCATTTCACTCGCAATAACTTGAATTGTTACACAATGGGTGTTGCTTCTGCATATTAGGAAGTTGCTTTAACTCAAAATTAGTAAATCGATTACCTTCCATGTGTGCTGGGAACTTTTTTTTGAAACCTTAAACGTGAAAGTGCACAAATAAAATTGCGCAATGTAAAGGCATTTCGGTAAAGAAAGGGAATAAATGTTGTTATCTGAGCAATTTCACGCCGGTGTGACCACTGCGACTCCGGCATGAGCAGGAAATACGGATCTTCATGCTCAAACACCGAATATACATATCAAATTATCCTCACTGTATAAAGGAAGTACTCACAAGGCTGACGAAATAAGTAGGATGTTTGTGGATGAGCATTATTCAAACGATGGTAGCTGCATTTCACTGTACTTGAACACAAAGAAACCGCCATGACCCGAAGGGCCAGCCCTAAGATTGGGGCGCGGCCTCAAACTCCACACTACAACCACAATCGCGTCTGTGTAATTCAATTAACTCACTTCAAGGTAATTTTTGAGTCTCGCACAAATTTTTCCGCCATACGCTTGCATCAACAACGCTTCACATTGCATTTCCTTTGACATTTCTCGTCTACTTCTCTGGCTTCATTCATGCAAACTATTAGCATGGTGTAGTTCCAACAGACGCTTGTGGAGTTGACTTCAGACGTGAGTGGGATCAAGCATTATCGCCTTCGCAACAGGTTTCCCAGTCACAGTAAGCACATGGCTCACACAATGCCGATTTTCGACTGTGCTTGGGCACCCAATCAGAATATGGCATACAGCAGCCTACTCACAAACGTCGGTGGTTGTACTCCTTGCGTGTGGTAACTCAATGCACCTAACACTCGTTCCTTTTACGCGATATGTTGCAATTTCAGCAGGCTGCTCTAATTATTAGAACTGAGGGAATAAGCACAATGCTGGTTCGTGTCAATTTTGCAGCAATTACTGAGTTCACCGAGGAACATCAACTGACAGGATAAATAAAATATTGTGGAAAATTGCCACAAATCGCGTTGCGTGAATCATACTGCTCGAGGTACTCAGTAGCAGTCAGTTTGAAATTTGGACTGATATCGAGCACTAGACGGTGGTGAAAATAGAGGCAGATACATCCATTTACTGATTTATTTAGTTGTGTTGCCCTTTCAAAAGATCAGGGTGTAATTAGCATTGGAGCAGTTCACTAACGGTGCGAGCTACACGTCTATGGAAACTCAAACTTAATGTTCCCATTAATTCGTGTTTTTTTATGGAGGTCGACGTGTAAGTGAAACAGTTGTTCTGTGGGGCAAGCACGCATAAAAAAGACAACTGTAATGGCACAGACATGGGGCTTCGCGCACTCGACGACGTGAATTTAGTCATACCAATTAAGCTAAAAGTGGGCGTTAAGGGCACTCAACGTCATGCGAGTACAACAGCACGCGACTACTTTATGCTCTACAAACAGTAGACGGGAGCAGTTGCCATGACAACTACTGTAATGTTAATTAAGAGGCGGCACTCTCTCTTGTCCTAGCACCGTTCAACACACTAATAATCTCTCTACCTAGTCGGACACAAGCAATGGGGTGCTTGCATGTTTCGTTCCCAACTTGAAACCAAAATAAATACAACACATATTCAATAAAGGTTTATTTTCAAATTAATAATGGACTCTAAATCCCTTCCTACAACTGTCTCCCAACGTTTTACAAGTTTTTAATTTTTCATTTTTTTCTTTTCAAAAAGCTCACACGGTTGTTTTTGAATTCTTTCATACAATCATTTTTTTCCATTTTAACTCCCTGTTTTTGCCGTAGCTGTTGAACGACAGGTGGGCTAGCGTTGTCATAGTGAAAAATGACGTCTTTTTGATTGACTAGGTCTGTGAATTTGGCTTGGACATCAACGCTGACTTGGATGAGCTGCTCACAGTACTTCTCCGCAGTTACTGTTTGGCCATGTGAATTAAGTTCGTAAAAAAAAGTATTGTTGTGCACTCCCAAATAGCACATGACAATGCAGCCTTAGCCACTGATTCTGGTCTTTCAATTCCATGCTTTCAGCCTCTTATAAATAACCATTTTTCATCATTACTTATGCCTTGATCCTAGAAAGACTTATTTTGCTGCCAGGCTAGGAGAGAAGTGGCTGTGGGAACACAGTTCAGTTTGCTTCTCTCTGGATAAACACGCAAAACTCATTTGGCAAATAGCATTCAAATTGCCAACATTTAGACTTCCATCAATTTCTCCAATGACAATCCGTCGATTATTAATCGCCGCATTAATGATCAGGTCAATGTCAATGCCAGCAGGACATCTAGAAGGAAATTTCCAGTTTAGAATGAAGTCGACATCTTGAAACAAGCTAAACCATCACCGAACAGTTTGCTTTGCTGGAGTCTTGAAATTGCAAGACATGATATGAAGACAATGTAGCTCTTCATTTTCATATTTGAATATAAACCCTCAACAAAATTTGTATTGACTCACTTGATTTAACCCATGGGTATTTTGCTAGGCAAGCATGCACTTTGACCATATACTCTTAGTTCGCCGACAATTCTAGCACTGTATCTCGTAAAATAAAGTGTGTAATGCATACAAATTAGAATGCCTACAATTGCGTCTTTGAAGGCAAACCAGCTTGTGATTGGCTTGTGTTGATGGCTACACAAAATATGAGTGGCTGTTGATCAGGCTGTGGTGGTTGAAGTGACTGAAAGAGTAACGCATTGGGCGTTAAGATGCTTCTTATTTTTGAGCTTACAGTTGTCATAATGATGAATACTTGACGGCTCGTTGTTGCAGGATCCAACCTTTCTTTACGAATTCGCGCTTCCGGTTAACAGTATTTAAGAGGGAAAATTATGCCAGCACACATGAGACAGCACTCTCATGATGATAGCGAGCTGGGATGCATTAACGAACCTACATGCATTCTCATGAAATATTTGCTGCTCCTTCCGAATGTCCTAAGGAAATTGCAATATCTAAATGAGTGACTTGGGCATGAAACCTGACGTCATCGCATAGTGGAATACCAGATTGTAACATACACAAGAAAGAGCAACTCCTGCAAACCTGCACTTGTATACGAATTGTTGAACCAGCCCCACCTATGTTGGGTTAATTTGTGAAATTTGTAAGCAAAGGCAGTGAGCAAAGTGAATCATGGACTGAAATCCATGTATCGTGCCTTCTTTTCATTTCCGAATCACAACAGCCTTATGTCAGTTTTGCGAATAAGAATACAATTATCTGAATAACATGTATGACATGCTACTTATTTATTAAATAACTAGAACGTCGATTCGTAAGCTCAACAAACAGTGGAAGGTTAGTTATGAAGAGTTGATAGGTTGTCTTCCACGATCGTGGGTGAGTTCAATTTTTAAACGTCAAATTTCAACTGTGCTACAAGCCACTCACGACCAATTAAGGTACGGTGTGGCAAATCCCAGTCAATGAGACCTCGTGAGTCACAGGCAACTTTGCTTGCCAACTGGCATGTGGTAGGTCGCTGGGTCACGCCCCAAATAACAGATTCTTTTTCAGCTAAGTACTAATAACCTACTACGAATTTGTATTCAAGCTATTTATCTGTGTGGCTATTAAAGTGCCAAACAGCCTTAGTTGTATTCCTCGTCAAGCATTACAATAAACACACTGTTCCATTTTCATCTGTAGCCCCATTTCCTCCGATAGTCTCTACATAGAACACGTGGTCACCTACTTTTACCGTCCCCTAATTTCACGAATGCTTCATTGATGTGATTCCGAAAAAAATGAATAATAAAGCATTGGTCAGCGTACGACTGAATGACTTGCCCATAGCCTCATAACCACAATATGGGACGAACCAAATTTGACACACTCACACACGCACCAACTCAGACGGATGTATTTATATTACGTTACAAAAAACAAGAGTAAATAAATTTCACGTTGTTAAAAATGAACACATTTAAAAGGACAACGAGAGGATTCGGTCTATGCCATTTTACCCTTGGCATCAGCGTTGTGGAGGGAGTAGTAGGCGCCGTGGGCTTCCATGAGGGCCGCAGGCGGACCGCTCTCCACACACCTTCCGTTCTCCAGCACGACAATCCGATCACAGTTCTCCACGGTGCTCAGGCGATGCGCAACAACGAGGGTCGTTCGGCCACTCTGCCGCATAGCCTCGTCCAACGCGGCCTGGACAACGCGTTCGCTCTCGTTGTCCAGCGCCGCCGTGGCCTCGTCCAGCACGAGGAGCCGCGGTTTACGAACCAGGGCTCTGGCAATGGCGATGCGCTGCTTCTGACCGCCAGAGAGTTGAGAACCACGAGCCCCTACGGGAGTGTCGTAACCCTTTAATGGAAGAACGAGCATAAGCTGCACTGTCTGGATGTTTACTACTTAATTTGCCTCATCAGCGGGCAGAGGATGTGTGAAAAATCACGTCGAAAACGTCGGAATTCGGAGCCAATACACATCAGAATGGACTTATACCTACTGAATTACATAACGTCTTTTTATAACGGGTATAAGTCCAGGAAATACCCGGTTCTTTGTATCTGCCATTTAACCAAGATGTGATTACACACAGGTACTGCTTGCTATGTATTTTACAATTCGACCAAATTTATGATGATCGAATCACTGTCCTAGCTGCTATTTAGAGGTCAGTTACGGAGCCTCGAACTTATTAAGTACACAGCGCAGCTACCCAAATGATGCACAAGATCAACTGCCTGATTAACTACTGGTGATGAATATGAGTAGTGTTTTATGTGGGATTGCAAAAGGTACTAGTTTTAAAAACATGGACAACATATTCGGCGGAATGTATTTGGCTTGTGTAGTCTAACTTGGGTGAAGTGATGCGATTGTTTTTTTGTCTAGGCTATATCTCATTGTCCCAATGTAAGTCAACTCATACTCTGTGGTACGAATCAACGGCTGGAAAAAAGAGTTCTGAGGTTGAGCTTCAGTGACTCACATAGCTATTGTAACTCCACTACATTGAATCACGTACTTAATGAGTTTTCTCTGCATTTATTGTACCGCTGCAAGCTTCTGACTGATCTCATACCTCCACCTATATCTAATGTTGTGATCGTCTTGGTCATAGGAAATTTCTGTTCGGAAAAAATAAACGGTTGGATCAACAGAACACGTATCTGCACACAAAAAACCCACCTGAGGGAGACTTGTAATGAAGTTGTGGGCGTTCGCTTGTTTGGCGGCTTCAATTATCTCCTCCATAGACGGTGGCTGCTCGGCGTAGGTTAGTCCATAGGCGATGTTTTGGTGGATTGACATGTCAAGGAGATTCGGCTCCTGCGATACCACGCCAATCTGACGCCGAATCCAAGTTGGAGCGAGATCGCGAAGATCCATTCCATCGAAGGTGATTTCACTGACTCTGGTCGACGAGCTCGCACTAGGGTCGTAGAAGCGTTGCACCAGTTGGAGCAGCGTGGACTTCCCGCAACCTGATTGGCCAACAAGAGCCACGCTGGTGCCCTGCGTGACTGTGTAGTTAAAGCCCTAAACAAACGCCATTTTAATTAAAGCAATATACACCCTCATTAACTTGCTTAACATTTTAATAAAAAGTAATTAAGTTTGATTATCCAGAGCTGCTAAGAGCTGATAGTGTACGGACAGCCCCAACGATGATTTTGGTCCGCAGTTACATGTACCAAGAATTGCAGCAAACAGTTATTTGGAACAGAATAGTGCCACAATGTAATGTCGACTTGTTTCTACAATCTACTGGATCGGAGGAGGTCGAGCACAAGTCAAAGTAGCATTATTAGTTCAAATTCTCTCATTTCTTCGTATCCCGTATTTCGTTCTTGCATAATCATTTTTAATGCAACTGACCAAGGTATCTCGCTATTTAGAAACTGCTACCAACCCCGCACTATCAGGAAGACTGAAACTAAGGCAATTCATTGCGCGAAAGTTGAGGCAGTGGCATGAAGACTTAGTGGTTTCAAGCGTCGGATAAGACTTTAGTGCAGACGGGATCGTAAAGGCGGTTTGAACCAAAATTAGTGCTAAGCGTTGACCCCCGCCCATTCAAAAGACCATAGTCCTCTCTGGTATTTTGGCATAAAAGTTCCTATCTACTTTCTGCCTCATTAAAGGTGTTAGTGACTCTCACTGAACTCGAGCGAAATCCAGGGAACCTGGAAGAATAACACAAGGTTCCGTAGAGTAGAGGGTTCTTACCCGAAGGACCTTGATCTTTCTACGGGTCGGATAGCGGAAGTGGACGTTCTTGAAAGCAACTGAACCCTGAAATGGTTTGACGGGAAATTCGCCCTCGTCAGGCAGAAGCTCGGGAGTTCGTCGAATCACACTGAACATCCTCTCAGCTGCCTCATTGGCCTTTTTGGTGTCTGGTGCAAAGGCAGCAAGGTAACCGAGTTGCTGTGCACCAAACGTTATCGCCGTGTGAGCACTGCGGAGGCAACAAAATTGGCTTCATTCTCTACTGACAACTGTTCAAACAAATCACGTTTCCAACTGGCTCAGTGCACAACACTGTGATTGGTTAATTGACACAACGTTATGACGGACCGTAATTTACACTTCGAGATCCATCGTATGGGCATTATACAAGCCAAAGCGCGTTTAATATGTCATCGAGTACGATGACAAGTTATGCTGCTCACAAAGGATTTAAGTATACAATTTCTGCACTGGTCTCCTGTCCCCTAATTAATGCATAATTGTTATTCCACATTATCCTATTTCTTCCGTTAATATTATCAACCTTTTACTTACAGTGACAAAACGTAACCAAATTGTAAAATGGCAGATCAATTTCTACTGTGCTGTTCGCTGACATGCAAAATGGTGTGCCAGAACTACCGAGAGTTAAAGAAAGGCCTTTCAAATGAGGTTATCAAAAGCAGGACAGGAGAGACAACGTACCGGAAGATGCCAACAATGGTCACCAGCTTCTGTTCCATAAGACGTCCACCGCCATAAAAGACTGCAGCCATTTGAAAACTCCCCAGGGAGTTGGAGAGGGCACTGAAGACTGCGTAGGAGCCAGCGCTTTTGATAATTTTTCTATTTTGTCAAAATAAATTAAACTTCTGAGTTGTAGAATAACTACTGAGGGCTACCGCGTACTGTCTTTTTTTTCTATAGAGGGTGATTATTCACTTGAGAAGAAAATTAATTTGATTTGACGATTATCGAACAATCTCATTTTCAAATTGTTAAATAGAACAAACGACTTGAGAATCTACACTAGGATTGAAGAATCTCTATGCCTGCGTTGGTTGATGTCTACAAGGCAGTCGTCGCGTGGGCAGCTCCCACTAATCGCTGGCTATAAAGTCATTTTCACTTAAGTGTGACTGGACGCGAGGGTCCAACACTAAACCCACTACTACGATTGTCTAAGTCGAACAATTTCCCTCTCATTCCAATTACGGCAATAAAGAAAATATCAGTGAAAACAAAGTAAACGAAGACACACCCTGGCAGAGCTACGCTATATAAAAAAGACGCCCAAAATGTCTCATAGCACTCTTGCGACGGAGGGCAATTAAAGACGACAGGGCATGACGCCCATAACTTAGATACCTCTTCTACAAGCCTCCCCCAGTTCAGGAAAGAAAACATGAGCTTGGTTCTGATGGCAGTCAGCCAGAAAGTTACATGACTAAAAATCACATGAATTAGCAGTCTACGGTGTACCCAAAGCGTGACAGGTTTTAGTGGTCCTTGAACAGTCAGTAGCCCGTCTCAAGAAGTGAGGCTGTGCCAAAGCACTCTTCAATCGTGTTTAGAGGAGGCAGCCGCATTTCAACCAAAACCGCTTCCTACCCTGACGCCTGGTGAGTAACAAATTCAGCAAATAAAAGGTAAAATTAAGCACTGATGCGCGCGCGCGGGTTAGCAAACTTGACACAAAGGGCACAAAGGCGGTGCATCAGCATCCCAGGGGAACCCACTTGTGGGACGGCAGTGCTTCCAGCTCGTAGCGACGCACAAAGTGACTTTCCGCGCCCAAACTGAAAACTGTTTTTGCAGCAGAGAGGCATTCAAACGCAAGGCCCGCTCCCTTCACGTTGGCCCGAGATCCATCATTCGTCCACTGCTTCATCTACAGCGACAACATTACTTAGCCTGAGAGCATAAAGGAGGTTCAAACTTTACGGTATACACGCATTCACAGGGAAAAGTGCTCAAAATATTCTCCAGCATTGGAATAATCCGAAACCATAGGTGGGGATTTCAAATGATTCAGGGTATTGACAAAGTAGGTAAGGTAATGTCGTGCAGTGTTGGTGCTAAATGGGCAAATTAAGGATTGTAAATTTTAACAGCTTAACTAACTACGCTTTGAACTTAGCGTCAAAGACTTCAAAGAGCATTGCAAAGTAGTTGTGTTTTCTCTGATCCTCTCGACTTTTGCGTTATGTTTTGTCTCAAGGCTCTATGACTTGCTTTGACGTCGAATGTAAAGAATACCGAACAAATAATGAGTTAATCGAGTACCCAAAAATTCGGAAGCATTTCAAAATTACAGCCTCTAACTATTTTGTTTTTCATACAATTACGCGATATTCAAGTAACACGTTTATCAACTCTAGGCGCCATGACCCTACACACAATGATTATCGTAACTAGCTTAATAGTAAACATAATTACTTTGGGGGCGTTGGTGAAATTTTGAAGATATTGGTGAGTGTGACAGAACTAACTGTGAACGTCATTGCTTTCATCCAAGAGCAAGAGCTAAATCAATGCGAATAAACAGCTGGAAGAATCGATTTAAAATTAGTTGGATGGATGGATGGATGGATGGAGCATCAGCTCGAATATACTCAGTTTACACTGCCCGACGCTGCAGTCACTGAACTTGGCTTCTTTCCACTTCAAGAGAAAGGTCGATTCGCCAAACTACATTTCCTTACGGCAGTCATGTTTTAGTGGGCAGTACAGAGCAGCTAAAAAGCACGATGAATTCGCAAAGACTAAATGGAATTTGAATAGTTGAATAAGGGTGGGTATTAGCCGAGGTTTTTTAACAACCTCCGCTTAAACAAGCAAGCAAGCAGGCAAAGTGTAATTATTCTCAAACATTACACGAGATTGTAGTCGACGGGTTGGTATGAAGGTAATTTAAACATGTCTAAGTGCATCACTTACATTGAATGCGCCGACAACAATGAGAACAGGGAAGAAGGCTAGAGCAATAAGAGAAATTTGCCACGAGTAGTAGAAAGCGATAATGAGGGAGGCGATGATGAGTGTTATGACTTCCATGAAGGAAGCCAGACGGCGTCCGGAGATGTTCTGCAGTGTTGGGACGTCAGCTGCCAAACTGCCAGTTAACGTGCCCGGTTGGTTCGCGGAGTCGTCAAACCACCCAACATTCTGAAGCAGAGCAAATTGACATGTGCGATTGTATCAGGGTCTAGCATTTCGCGGACTATTTGCAGAAATACAAATACAACACCAAACGTATGGAAATTGCTTTACCTGATTCAACATGGCTTGAAATAGAATAACGCGGCATCGTTTCGTCAGACGAGACCCCGATACACCCCAAAGGTAGCCCTGTTAAATACAAAAGAAGGAGAGAAACACACTAAAATGAAATTATTGCTTAAAAAGAGGTTGTCAATTTACGTAGTCAATCCTACGTCATAAGCTCGGATTATATGCTACGTCAAGCATTTCACGCACCAGCACAATTATTTTGATTTACTTTAATGCGAGCGTGAAACAATGACAACAAGAGTCTTCAGAATGACAAACATTTGAGTGTTAAACTTAAATTATCGACAGTGGAAATAGATTTATTTGTGATTGGTGCAAATTAATGTCTGTCCTTTTACCACAAAAGCTTTTGAGGATATTCATTAAAATTTTGTCTATTTTATATTTTTGGATGTCACATAAACTAACTTATTCCAATTTCAATGGAGGTTAGTTTACGAATAAATACTGTCATAATCCTGGCTTCCTTCAATACTAAAACGCTTGTGAGCTGAATTTAACGGTCCATTAACCTGATACTTGCAATAAATTTTTCAGTTTTTTTCTGGTAGTAACTAGAATTTTACATCATTGGCGAGGAAACCCCGACTTGTCTGAGTGACTTAATGGCAATCGAATTGCCGGTCTGCTTCATTCGAGTCAGTTGGATTTGCACACACGACTTTTCGGCCATTCATCAGTGTGGGCTTCCAATTAGAAAAGTGGTAGAAAAGGAACAAATGAGCTAGAGGATTCGCTCGAGTTGGTATGTCGTCTTTGTCACATACACACACACGCGCGCACACTAGTTAAGTTGCCTAGACACCCAGATTCTAGCCTAATTCCTCTCCAACAGTCAATAAAATAATTTAATCTGCGCATAATCTCTGTATCAAGTGATGCAAATTTGCGGGGTTCTAAAGTGAGAGTTCAGATGCTCCGATTTTGCTTCACGTAAAGTGTTGTGGTGCTAAAATACTCTGGAAACTACGGCAACCAATCAGGTGATGTTTAAACGAACTCCATTGTTCGTTTAAAAACTTGGCAGAACAAAGTAAATGCTGAACATACCCCCATAACCAGGCAGAAGAATCGAACAAAACCAATGGCCCCAAGAATGCCCGACAAAACAGAAGTTCGTTTAAGCTTTATATCGTCGTTTGGCTCTCCGAATACCTAAAATGCAAATGTGGGGTCAGCCAATACAGAGCGAAACCTCCAGGTCCTCCTATTGAATGATACACAACCGCAGTAAACGTCCATCGTTGACTTCCAAATCTGAGAAAACTGACCCCACCTACAGGGATTTCGCACGTGCCTTTTCGGTGAAAACTTAGATAAGCATAACCACGTGGAATGGGGTAGGTTCCCTAGCCCAATTACCCCGACGATTTGGACAACAAGGAAAACAAGATGTTAGTTCTAACTCTTTTGTCAAGACTTGCGTTTTCAAATTTAACAAATCTGCTTACCAATATCTTAAGGAATGTCAAAGATAAAATTCTGCAATAGAACAGGCGAATAGGTGGGCGCAAGGCGTGTCCATAGCAGAAGAGTTCAGCCGGATAATATAGCTAGTCTTTTGATGAATGACTCACCGCATAGATTTCCGTTACAAGTATGGCGAAGCAGGCTTGTACCAGACCTGAGATGATAGATAAGATCATTCCACAAACGATGTACCAGAGTTCAGGTGAATTCAGACGAAGAATCTCGGCAGTAATATTCACTTTCGGATCGGTCACCTGGAAGGAAATGGAAGAGGCTATCGTGATTCCTTGGTGAAGTCTACGGGGTAGCAAATGATTGTCGAAAAATTGGCCCTTCATCAACCGGCATCGTACGTATGGTCAAAAAAATCCCACGAGATCGCAATGCGTCTCATCCGCCATTTTAGTTAAGTGCTGATTCTCGGCTAGGCTTTTCCGACGCCAGAACATTCAACGTCCAGTTAGGCTTTAGGGAAGAACAGACATGCTACCCCACACACAATCTTGCTTGTGAAGTTGATTTGGGCAGTGTGGGAAACAAGTAATGTCGGTAGTTTAGGAGGCAGCTATGAAAGCATACCTGGTCGTCCACTAAACAAGCATCCATATGCAATTATCACACCTCACTTATTCACTCTAACAGTCTTCGCTCAGGACTCAGCTTCACGGTTAGGCGATAAGTCAATTAATGTGTACAATTGCCCATTATGTCCCCGACAGAGACTAAATGTATTGTCACCTGTGAGCATTGAACAAAAATAATTACCAGAGTGGAGTCACTGGAGAAACTTGACTTGTCATGGCTGACAGTTGATGCATAGTCCGGCTAAATAGATAAGAAAGGTTAGATGAAGCAACGCTAGGACGAAAGTATTCGCAAGTACATGACGCGCTTCTGCATTTGTCTCCCAAGACCTTCTTTAAGATTGGGGCTTGGCCTCAATCTCCACGCTACATCGAACTCCACACTGCAACCACAATCACGTCTGCGTAATCCAATTAACTCACTTTAAGGTATTTTTTGAGTCTCACGCAAACTTTTTCCGCCATACGCTCGCATTAACAACTCTTCACATCACATTACACCACCACCCGCCTTATCCATGTGACCATTCAGACGCCTATATCTTTACTAGTCCGCTCAAATGTATCAGTCAACGCGACACAACTTCGTTGATATGTCTAGTAACTGGTTGCGCCTCTTCCTCTCCGGTCTAGTC